GAGGGGGCCGGGGAAGAATGGCCGTGCCGAGCGGCCTGCGCCCGGCGGTCCCCAGGGCTCGGGCAGCGCCCAGGAACGCGGGGAGGCCGCGCAAGGGTGCAGCGGGGGCCTAGGCAGGGTGAGGCCGCAGGCGGGCTTCGGGCGGGGGGAGCCTGGGGATCTGGAGGCTGCGGGCAAGCGGGCAGTCCTAGCAGCAGCCTTGGGAGGCCCCAGAAGAGGACGGGGGAAGCCTCGTCCAAGCCCCCCCACACCACCAGATTCCCACAGGACAGCTCAGGCGCCAGTCTCCATTTGAATAAAATTTCCAAGTAAATATCCCAAGGAGAGGCCTGCTTCTTGGGCATAGGTCCTGGTGGAACCGTCACCACTCTCCTACCCCCAGGAGGGGGCTTCCTGTCCCAAGGGAAACCTGGGGCAGGTGAGGGGCAGAGGCAGGGGCTGGGGAGTGGAGAGGTGTGTAGTTGCCTCCAGGGAGACTCAGGCTCTCCCCTGTAGAAGCCCTCTTGGTTCAGTCAGGCCCCACTGTAGGCCTCAGCCCCACAGCAGGTGGCTGGGCTGCTTCAGCCAAGGGAGACCCTGAGCAACCAGGACACAGGCCATTCCTCTCCACCCTGCTGAAGACTAGGCCTGTGGTGGTGGATGTGCTCAGCTTGTCCCATGCCCTGGGGCTTGTCTCCAGCTGCTGTCTCCTTCCACTCCGTGCTGCTCCCTGAAGGAGGCCCTAGAACCACTCAGGAGACGCACTTTGGTGTCCTGCCTTGGGCCCACCGAGAGGCAGGCAGGACAGCCCATGGGCACCTAACTCACCCCCAGTCCCCACCCCACCCCCATCCTGGGTGTAGTCCCAGGGTCCTAGGAAGAACAATTATCACCACACTGGAGACCAGACCTGGTTTGCATAGTCTGCACGTTTAATCACTTTAAAATCTCTAACATTATCTCGTGTCCATTAAATAGAACCAACAATGCTGGGCCTGTTTAAATTACAAGGAAAAAAAATCACTGTGCACCAACCCAGTATCTTACAAAACCAGCTGGGCTGGCCACAAGGTGGGGGGATGGGAGAGGAGGGGGCACCCCGGGCAGGTGGCTGGGTGCCAGGAGGGGCTGGGGAAAGAAAAGGGGGCTCCCAACTGGGAGGGGACTGATTGTCCTAAAGGGAGGGGTGCAAAAGGCACATCAGAAGAGGGCGACTTGGGGGGCAGGACAGGTCAGTGCTCTCTCCATCAGGGCACAGTGTTGGAGGGGGCTCGGGGCCACTGCCTGCCCACCCCTGGCACTTGGAGAACCAGTGACCATGAGCCCCTGGCACGATGAGCCCCATGTGAAACATGACAGCCTGCCCCTCCCACCATGACCCCCCTTTCCTAGGCCTGGCCTGCCTGCCTCTTCAGGACTTGGGGCTCAGCTACTCCTTACTCCTCAGCAACATGCTGCAGCCCCCCACACCTCAGGGCCAGGGCAGCTGGGGGAACAGCAGGATGAACAGTGGGTGTGGGAAGGTGGGTGGTCCAGCTGCTACCCCCATTAAAAATACCAAACAAAACAAAACAAAACAAAACATCAGCATCTAAAGTGAAATAATCACAAAGTGAAAATATATCCTCAAACAGCCCCTGAGATCCCCACAGGGGAAAGCAGCATCGGGTGGGAGGCAGGAGAGGCTGGCTGGGCCACCGTCCCTCCCCACCACCCACCCAGGGGCTCCGGGACTGTCAGTGCCAACAGCCGAGGCAGCCCCGGGCTCAGAAAACAGGGACTTGGGCCCTGGCAGGAGGGGAGGGTGCCAGAGAGGGGAGGGGGTCAGGGTGCCAGCACAGGGCTGAGCCCGGCCCAGCCTCGCTCAGCAGGCAGCCAGCTGTGGTGGAGGTGGGCAAAGGGACAGACACACACGTGTGCATACATGTGTACCCTGGAAGCACCTGCCTTGCCTTGGTCCCTTCCTTCAATCACCGCTTCTGCCCGAGGCTCACCAGAGGTGGGGGACAGGGTCAGGGATGCAAAAGCCCTTGGAGAGGTGGCTTCCTCCTTCAAATACCCCCTAGGCCAGCCTCCCTGCTGCCTGGATGGGGACCATTATTGCTTCAGAGGGACAGGGAAGGGGAAGAGCTGCAGCCCAGGGCAGGAATCCAGAAAGAGAAGGGCTGCCCCTCTTTACTCTGCAGGGAGCTCTGGCTGGGGCCTGGCCCTTGGAAAGCTGCCCTCAAGGTTTCACTCCTTTCTCCACACACGAGGGTGCTGGGGGTGGGACGTCACCCTCCCCTGCCCCTCATCTGGTCCTGGGGCCCCACCTCAGGCAGTCAGGTGGCCCAAGGGTAGGGTGGGAGGCCGTCTCTGCCCCTCTTGCCTCCCAGCTGGGGTCCAAACCCAGTCCCAAGATAAAAAAATACTTTGGTGACGTAAAAAGTGCCCAAGGAAGGGACGGGCTTGAAGGGGCGGGCAGCAGGCGCTTGTCAGAGGGCGCTCTGATCTTTGATAAAGGCGGTCCTCTCGCCCCGGCCCTCGTCCTCTTCTGAGTCGGACGGGCACTCCTCCTGCCAGGCCTCGGGGGGCAGTCCCTTGTAGGAGATGAGGCCCCGGTCCATGGTGTACACCTTCACCCCCCGGAAGCTGAAGCCAGAGCGCAGCTGCAGGACCAGGAAGACAGTGACGAAGACCAGCACAATGAAGGCGCAGCTGAGCCCGGCCACCACCTCGGGCAGGTGTGAGGGCAGCAGCCCTGCCCGCAGGTGTGGCTCTGCCTCCACCTCTGGGGGCTGCCGGGGTGGCTGCTGCTGCGGGGACTCGCGGCTGCTCTGGCTCTGCCGGGAGCACGTCTGCTCCACAGGGTCCAGGGAGGCGTGGCTGGGGCAGCTGAGGCAGTCTGTGGGGGCCGGCCCCTGGCATGTGGCACACGAGGCGTGGCAGGGGGCGCAGACGCTGGCCTGGATGGTCTCCACGTCATTCTCGGTGCTATAGTGTGTATTGAGGACTTGGGGAGCGAAGCCTGGTGGGCAGTGCTGGACACAGCTCTTCTGGTGCAGGGAGAAGCCTTCCTCGCACACTGCCGGCATAGGAGAGAAGGCGGGTGTCAGCAAAGCCGCCCACGGCCACGGGCCGTGTGAGCCCCAGGAGAGGGGCAGCCCTGTGGACCTGCAGCTCCAAGCACGGTCATCACAGTCCCCAGGAGCTCCCAGCCCCAGAACTGTGATCATCCCAAGGACTCCAGGGTCTCTTCAGACCCCTTTTTCTCCTAGAGCTGGGTTTCTGGACAGCCCTCTCTGTCCACTCCCATCTCAGGCCCCCACACCCCAACAGCACCCACTACTGACCCACACAGGCCTGGCTGGACGTGAGGGTCTTGCAGCCGCTGCTCTCAGGAGGCATGGGCAGTCCCTCGGGGGCCGTGCCATACAGCACGAGGGTGAACTTGGTCAGTGTCCCTATTCCGGGGTGGGGGAGGAGGCAAGAGTTAGAGGGCAGTGGGACCCCTCCTGGCATCCCAGACCCCTCCAGCTCTCCTCCTCGTTCCCTCCAGCCCTTGAGCGCCCCAATACCATAGTTGTTGGCTTCGCTGGTGTTTTCAATCTCCAAGACCCACTCGCCAGAGGGGTCCTCATCCCAGGAATGGGTCGTCATGAAGGCCCAGTCATTAAACCCATCTGCAGAGTAGTCATGTGGCCTGAGAGAGGAGGGTACACACAGCCATCTGAGGCCTCTGGGGGACCCTAGGACCCAAGTTGTGGCACCAAGCCCACAACACATGGACAACACACCTTCCCCCAGTGCAGCACCAACCCCACAGGGCTAGAAATGCTTATTGGCTCTGTTTCCCAGTAGACCAAATGTTGTCAACCAGAAGATTCTAGAAATGTACAAGGGTGCTACACATGGGAAGGCACACAGATGTGGCATTTAATGGGCAGAATCAGGGATTCCTGCAATATGGAACAGTCCCATAGGCAAAACCATCTCTCCCAAAATGCCAACAGCGCCCCCCTCATCGAGAAGTATTTGGTGACCATTTGGGCCATGAGAGTGAATGAGTGAATGCATGTGGGTGGGAGGGAGAGGACGAGCTGGACAGGGGACAGGGCAAGCACCTGGCAGCCAGCAGGGTGGAGCGGGTGCCCATGGGGCTGACCAGGTGGATGGCCAGGTCGCCGCGGCGATTGTAGGACAGGGTGAGCCGCGCCTGAGCATGCTCCAGCCGTGTGATATGGCTGGGCTCCCCCAGGCAGGCGGTCACAGTCTTCCGCACCTCTAGCCGCTTCCCGATGTCCCTGTGCAGACAGCACCATGATGGTCCGTCAGCCTGGCCCACAGGGACCAGCAGGCACCCCTTGCGACCCTCAGGTTCCACTTGCCCCCTCCCAGCCAGGGTCCAGCCCTCACTTGGGTTCAGTGAGGATGTCGATGATGCACTTCCGCTGGGGGGCCACCGTTGTCCAGTTCTGGGCCAGGGCCACCATGGCACCTGCGTCCAACAACCCATAGCCATATGAATGGCTCACTGTGGGGCAGGGAAGGCGGGGTCAGCTGGGATGCACAGAGTGCCTCCCACCAACCGCTAGTCCAGCCCACTGGACCACCCTGTCTTCACCTTTCCGGCCCACACCATTAGTGGCCCAATCGTTAGCGTTGAGGTGGGCTGGCTTTGAGGTCTGAACCACCAGGTGCTGCATGTCCCGCCAGGTGAGGTTCTTACTGCAAAGGAGGGAGAGGCTGGGGGCTCAGTCTCTTTGGAGAGACATTGGAGACCAAGGGTGGCCCTGCAGAGGGCGCGGGTGGGGACCCACCACTTACTTGGCCTCCAGGGTGAGAGCAATGATGCCGGCTGCCAGAGGGGCAGAGGCTGAGGTGCCCGTGTGAGACTCTGTACACTTCTGCCGCAAATCAGTGGTCACCTACCAGGAGAACAATGGTGTTGGACCTGTGATGGGTGGAGGGGACCAGAGAGGCCACCTGCCTGGCCACCCTCTGCCTACAGGCCCTGAATACCACAGATGGTGTGGTGAGCCAGGGCCAAGACACCTCAGTCCCAGGGACTTACTTGCTAACTTGCTGTGGATAGGCCAACGCCTGGCCCTTTCCAGGCCTGTTTCCCAAGGAACAAGGGGGTTGAACTAGAGGTTGGAGATCATTAAGAATAATGCTTGTTTTTGGGGAGAGCTTATATTTCTCAGGGGCTTCACAGAGGGCTCCATGGCCCCCAGGAGTCTGAGAGCCCTCAGCTCCCATTCCATGATGCCTGCACCACTATCACCCAGCGATGTGTGGGTGGGAGGCAGACGGGGTCAGAAAGCAGGCAGAGCCAGCCACCAGCCCATTTCCCCACCCCCCACCCTAGTCCCTGCCCGGGGCAGGACTCACAATCTGCTTCTCGTTTTGGTTGCCGCTGCTATAGGTCGTGGCCAGTGTGGATGAGCAGGCCTCGCTGTACCAGGGCACATTGCCAAGCTGCGTGGCACTGCTGATGGACAGCGTGTAGATGCTGTTGGTGTAGCCGTCGCAATTGCAGCTGTCGTGCTCCCGGCCCCCGTTCCCTGAGGCCCAGACGAAGATGGAGCCTAGCCCCCCACGGCCCTGTGAACAGAGTAGGGGCTGAGGTCACTCGAGAACAGGACTTGGGGGAGGCCTGGCAGGAAGATGCTGCCGGAGCCTCGTTCTTGGGGGACCCTCTACCCACCCCCGGGTTCCCCTGTGAGATCCCTGCTGGATCAGGTATATACACAAATATGTCTATGCCCAAAAAAACAGACCTGAACCACCACCAAAATGCTCAGAGTGGTGATCCCAGGGGTGGAATTATGGGTGATTTTTATTTACTTTTCTCTTTTTCTGTCCTTCTGGTCCCTTAACATATTATTAACAGGCTTTGCGTAAAATTAAAATTAAACACAAGAATAAAGAAACAGGAGCAGAAAAATACAAGGAAGAAAGCCATGGAAAAGACAGCACCCAGCTTGCCCCCAGAGGCAGGGCCTGGTTTCCAGGGCTGGGCTAGGACCCCCACCTCACCTGGCTAACCCCTCGCAAGAAGGCCTCCTCGGCGAGGCGGGCTGGCCCATCCACAGTCTTGCCGTCGTCTTCGGGGCCCCAGCTGGCGCTGTAGATGTGGATGTGGTTGGGGTTCAGGCCCAGCGAGCGTGCCTCCACTGCATCTGTCACTTCGCCATCTAGCATGCGCACCCCTGGCCACACAGGGGAGCAAGGAGAGGGATGCTGCATGGGTCCAGCTGCCAGGGGCATCCCCTAGAGCACACCCAGCCCTGCACCCAGAGGATGGGCAGGGGAAGGTAGAGGCTGGTACTGAGAAACCCTGGGCCCGTAACTGGCCTGCCTCTGCCTTTCAAAGACAAGATCCAGGGAGGAGAAAAGAGGAAAACACCCCTGCCCTCAACCACACATTCTGGACTAGAATGAGGCTCTGGGTTCCCAAGGGAGTGAGGTGATCAGGCCTGCCATGTAAGGACTCAGAATGAGTGGTGAGGATTTGGGGAAACTCTTGCTAAGAAACACTCACCCCACTCCACAGCATAGGCCCACCAGCACTGGTGGTTCAGCATTTGAGTTGCTAAGAACTCTCTAAGGAATAGCCACGTGGTCAAAATGATCCACAGTGGGAAAGTGACAGACACTGGCTGGACGGAAAGTGGGTGCAGAAAAATGCCACCCCAAGGATCTCCCAAGGACAGGGTGGCCAAGACCCACACCTACCTCCAATACGGGCATTGTAGGCCACGCCTACGCCACAGACGCCATTGTTGGCCACCGCAGCCACCTCGCCTGCACACCGTGTGCCATGCCTGCCAGGGCCAAAAGCATAGCATTACTGGTGGACAGAGCATGGCAGGTGCAGCCTGAGGAGCAGGAAGGGTCTGTGTGCCTCTCGACCCAGGACCATTGTCCCACCTGTGTGCACAGTCCCCTCCACACATTCCACTTGGCCTATGGCCATCTCCGCTCTGACCAAACTCTCCCTTGGAGCTCCAGCTGGACCAGGACTTGGGAAAAGACTTCGGCCTCTCGGGCAGGACATGTCTCAACCCAGTCTCAGCCCTGCTTCCTCAGTGGAAAAGACAAGGAGGGAGGCAGAGGCCGGGGACCTGCTGTTTCTTACCTGTTGTCATTCATCTGTGTGTACCGAGGCTGGGGGTCAGGGTCCTGGTCATTGACATCGAAGCTGGCCCCAGGATCCTGGAAAGGACATGGCCATCATCAGGAGCAGCCTGACTACACTGGCACAACAGGACTGCCCCTAGACATCCCTTACCAGGGATGGCTGCCTCCCTCTCCCACCTCCTCACATAATTGCCTGCCAAGTCTGGGTGGTTCTTCTCGATGCCATCATCCAGAATGGAGACCACAATACCGTGTCCCGTGTAGCCCTGGGCCCAAGCATCCTTCACGTTCAGGTCCCGCTGGGTGACGCCAGACTGCAGAGACACCCACCCCCATTGCCCCAGCACTTACAAGATGTGGTTGGCTGCGTGAGGTTAGGGGTACCTCAAAGAATGCCTTCACCACCCCAAAACCTCCTTTCTCCACCCAGCTCTGCTCCTGAAATGCCACCATTGGTTGTCTGGGCTCCCTGGGAGGGAAATCCCCAGGCCTCACAGGATGGGCTAGGGAGATACTGCTCAGCATACAGAAAGAGGAAGAATGAGAGGAGGCCTCAAAGTCAGCCTCATCCACCCACGGGAGGGATGGGTGCAGCTGGGGAGGAGGAGCTGGGATCCAAGGAGGCAACGTACCAGGTACCACTGCTGGGGAAACTTGGGGTCCGTGGGCTCCTGGTACACGTCCCGTTTGGTCCGTTGCTTTGCCACCTGCTGCTCCAGCCACTGTACCTGTGAGGGAGTGAGGGAGAGACGGTGTGGGCGGAGGAGAGAGAGGAAGAGACAGGCGCTCCTGAGAGCAGGAAGGGAAGAGTGGCAGTAGGAGGGGCTGGGCTGCACTCACTTGAGGCTCCCTCTGCAGCCGGCTGTGCCGCAGGCGGTGAGGTGACAGGGACCGCTTTGTCACTGCTCGATGCCAGAAGTGGTAATAGTCGCCGAAGATCTGTAACAGAGCAGGGAGACTGAGCTGGGCTTTCCATCTGTCAGTCCGCAGGGAGGCGGGGGATGGGGGTGGACAACCGGCTGCAAGGGGAGGCACACAACGGCCGGGGGTGGAGGTGCATCTGCTCCCTGCCCAGGACCCAGTAAGAAGGTGCAGGGGATCAAGGGGGACTCACCCCCCTGCCCTGGTATATGCTGGTCCTCTGACTGACCTATGCTAGAGGCCCAAGGGCAGGACAAGCCACTGCTCCCATCCCCCTGGCCACCCAGAACATGCCTACTACCCAGATGCCCCTGAGAAAACCAGCCCCACAGTGCCTGCTCCCAGTGCCGGAACCCTTGCCCACCCTGGCCCCACGCCCTGGCAATGTCCTATGCTTAGGCAAGAGGCAGTGAGAACACCTACCTGTCCCAGGTTGAGGAAGCCATGCTTGCGTGCCACGCTGTCAGCCACGGCTGGACCTCCAGGAATCTGCACGGCCCAGGTGTTGGTGAAGACTTTCTGACCACGGGCATCGGCTGCCAGCAGGACCAAGGCTACTGCTGCTGCTACCACCCATAGCAACCAGGGCCTCAGCTCCATGGGGGGCACAGGTGGCCGGGACCCCAGAGCCCCCGTCTCCTTGGCCTGGTCACAGGGCCCCGGCTCCCGCGTGCCTGCTCACTGCCTGTGGCCCGGGGCTGACTGGTGGGGGCATGGGGCCGAGAGAGGTAAGGCTGTGGGGGGAGGATGAGGGCTGCTGGCTCTGAGAGGAACAAGAGAGGAAAAGGGAAAGTCAGTCCCTCCCCAGCCATGTGCTGAAGCTGCCTTCCCACCCAACTGGTCAAGCCAGGCCTGAAGGGGCTCTGGGGGAGACAGGTGAAAATCCAGCCCCAAGGTCAGCTGGATAGATGGACAGATGGACCCCCCCCACACACACACACACACAGCTCCCAAGCCTCTCTCCACACAAGAAGACGGAAGTAGGATGAAGAGTATGAAGGCTTGAGTCACTCAAAATTAGAAACAACAACTGAATACACTCTCACCAGAATCCAAGTAAAAAAGATGGAGTATAAAGCAGTATGCACACACGACCCTCTTTTGTTTTTAAAAAACTATTTATACATGTATATTTATACATAACCACAAAACAAAATCTGGAAGGACACACGCTACAACGTTAACAATGGTTCTCTCAAGATGGTGAGAATTAAAAGTAATTATTTTCTTCTTTGTGTCACTGTATATTTTCCAAAGTACCTAGGTATATTTTATAAAGGAATAAAATGTTGGCTTTTTAACGTTTCTTTTTTATTTTTTTGTGAGGAATACCAGCCCTAAGCTAATATCTGCCAATCCTCCTCTCTTTGCTGAGGAATACTGGCACTGGGCTAATATCCATGCCCATCTTCCTCCACTTTATATGGGATGCCTGCCACAGCATGGCCTGACAAGCGGTGCGTCGGTGTGCGCCCGGGATCTTAACAGGCGAACCCCGGGCCACCGCAGTGGAGCGCGCACTTAACCACTTGTGCCACCGGGCTGGCCCCTTTAATGTTTCTTAATAGGTGGCATCTACACAGCTCACTAGGGTTTCTTGGTTCAGCAAAGCAGACCTAGCCACAGGGATTTATTTGCAAAGACCCACAGCCCCTGGGAAGAAAGGGTACGTGACCCCAGGTGGGACAGGGGCTTTGGGGGCCAAGCACGGGGGAGCGCAGTGGCTTCACCTCCCTTTATGGCCCAGACTGGTGGCCATCAGCAAATTCAGGGGCCAGGCTCTTGTTATGCTGTTTCCTGGGGAACACTGGGGCCACCCAGCCCTGCCTGGGCACCCCCAACAGCCCCCTTGCTCACTCCACGCCCACCAGCCTTGCGTAACCCGAGCCTGGGCAGCCAGGGCAAACACCAGCTGCTGAGCCAGGAGCGCCAAGGTGAGGCTGAATCAATAGTCCTCGTGTTGTTTTTCCTCCTTCAGCAAACAGACAGCGGGACCTCTCTGCCCAGGGCCACATAACTGTCCCCACATAGGGCCCCTGATGAGGCAGAAGCCAAGCCCCTGTGGTGGAGAGAAGCTGGGGGAGGTCCCAGTGGGGACCTCTAGTGCCAAGCTTGTTGGGCAGAGCACCTGCCCACAGGACCCTGGATGCCCCACCACTCACAGGGGCCAGCCCCAAAGGAAGCCACTCTACCAGACGGCAAAATGAAGCTCCCCAGCTCACCCAGGCCCTGGGGAGCTGGGCGGGCAGGCTCACCCCTGGGAACCCTCGCTTCTCCCAGGACTGCTATCAGCCACAACCAGTCTCCCTGGCTGCTCCTGCTACAGTCCCACCCTGCAGGATAGGGGCACTCAACACACAATTCCTGTAGTATTTTCAGTTTACACCAAAATAACCTGACAGCTGATGGCAAGAGGCATCCACAACGCAGCTCTCCTCACCCCAACGGGCAGAGTCCACAGGACTCCCAAACAGGCCTGGAAGCCACAGCCCCATGATGCCTCCAGCACCCAAGTTTCAGAAAGCCGGTCTGAGCAATGGCCGGGCAGCCAGATATCTGGCCCTAAGGGATGAAGGGACCCCTAAGCCCCTTATTAAACAGAGGATGTGGGGCCCTCTGGGCAGGGCCAGTTAGGAACAAGGCCTCTTCTCCCCTTCTTACCACCACAACAGCTGCCTCTTGGGTCCAGATGTCAAGCAAAGCCACTCCTGCTGGAGCCCTCAAATCAACATTGGGTTCATCCGGGTCTAGCCCAGGTTCCCGGCACACAGAGGATCGAGCTGCAGCTGCTTGGTGTTAAAGTGATTAACCAACTACTTAATTACCTCGCAGCACCCGGCAAGAAAGCAGGCTTCAGGCAGAGGCCTCCTCCCTCTGCCCAGCATCCCCAACCATGGTGAGCAGTGTCTATGGCTTCCACAACGCCCTGAAGCCCCCCAGACAGCCCTGCCTCAGGATCCTGGAGGGAGGGAGGATCCCCGTCCCAAAAAGAGCAGGCGCTGAGAACAAGGAATGAATGGGCTTCCTACCCCCATCCCAGACTCTGACTCATCCTCTGAGTCCCAGTTCGGCTTAAACCCAGAGGCTTGCTGTATCTCTAGCCTCCAGTGATGCCCTCTCACATAAGACTCAGCACCAGCTGTGGCCAGAGAGAGAACCGTGGGTGCTCTTCCTGGCTGCGTTCTCGGTCAAAGCCCTTTCCTCCAGCCTCAGGAACCTCCCGACACAGAGAGCCACTCCAAGGCACCCAAACTGAACCTACCCCCGGGTCCGGCTGCTGCTTCCCAGGCACTGGGGGTCTGGCGGGGACGGGGCTGCTCAGGAAACCCGGTCGGTCTCTCTCTCCAGCAAAGAGACACCAAGCCAGGTCCTGTTCCAGGCACTGAAAGTCTCCCCTGAAATTCTGCCTTCCAATCCCTGCTCAACTACTCATCTGCTGTGTGATCTTAGATAAGTCACTTCCTCTCTCTGGGCCTCAGTTGCCCTGGTGGTAAAAACTGCTAGACCAAGGCCGGCCCCATGGCCTAGCGGTTAAGTGCGTGCGCTCCGCTACTGGCGGCCCGGGGTTCGGATCCTGGGCGCGCACCGACGCACCGCTTCTCTGGCCATGCTGAAGCTGCGTCCCACATACAGCAACTAGAAGGATGTGCAGCTATGACAGACAACTATCTACTGGGGCTTTGGGGGAAAAAAATAAAATAAAATTTTAAAAAATGTTTAAAACAACAAAACAAAACTGCTAGACCAGAGGTTTTCAAACTTTCTTTTAAAGCCACAGAATCCTTGTTAAAAAAATCAAATCTTAGACAGAATCCCAATATAGGAAATAGTAAAACATGGGCCGCCCTGGTTGAGACAGGTCAGGCTTGACTACTCTCCTATCTTGTGTCCACACCTGTCCAACCCTTCCGAGGCCACAGCACCTGGGTTCCCCTGGCACTTCCCAAGTCAGAGAGAGAATTCCAACACCCTCAGGAGGATGAGGGTCTGCACCCCCAGGGGCAAGGGGAAGGGATGGCGGGAAAGCAGGTACTGACCTGACAAGTGACTGCTGTCAGACCTGTCTGGCAAGCAGGCTGCCCCTCAGGGCAGCCAGCCCACGGGGGCAGCAGGGACCTCGCACGGCCTCCACGGGAGGCAGCCCCGCAGAGCCCGCACCTGAGTCTCGGGTCGCCCAGGTGTGCGGGCGGGGACCCGGCCGGGAACGATGCCTCCGCCCCGCGCACCCGCTCCTCCTTCCCCGGCGGAGCGCGGGGTGGGCGAGCCGGCGGCGGTCCCCGAAGGACGGCGGGGAGGCGGGAGCGCCCGAGCCTCTGGAATTCTCTCCCCATCCCGCCCCCGGCGGGGCCCGCAGGCGCTTCCTGAGGTCAGAGGGCTCGCCCCGGCTCCGAGCGGAAAAGTACCGGCCCGGGTAGGGGCCGGGGGCCGAGCGGGCCCAGCGCGCGCAGGTGGGCTCCGGGCGCCCTTCCCGCTCCCCGCGGCGGCACGCTCGAGGCCGCCCCGCAGCCAGTCTCGAGAGCCGGGAGGGCAGCCGGGCCCTGGGGCCGGGTCAGGGACCTCTGGTGGCAGGCGCCTCGAGCCTCCCCCGCCAAGGCGCCCGGGCCGCGGAGCCCACTCCTCCGGCAGAGCGGCCCAGGCCAGCCGGCTCCCCGGCCCGCGCCCTCCCGCTTACCCTGCAGAGCCCGGGAGGGGAAACTTTTCCGGCGAGCGCCGCGGCTGCTCGGAGCCCCTCGGCCGAGCGGAGAGCCGGCGGCGGGGGCCTGGCCCGGCGGGTCCCCAGCCCAGCAGG